GCTGGGGAGCCGGAGATGTGGCACATGTACTCAGGCTTCACCTGTTCTGCAGAAAGTCAAAGCAACTTTATCTTTCTCTCTCACTGGATCATTTCAGAAAGTGACAGGGAATATAAGTGATATTACTCAGATGGCTGTTTTTAGATGTCTCAATTTCTGAAAGTCAGGATATGTCATTGTGATACATGCTTCTGCTCTCTGAATATTCCAGAGAAACACTGGCTCTGGAGGGAGATTGTCCTCCAGCTGGCAGGAATGATGATGGATTTAGGGTGAAAGGTGTATTTTGGGCTTGGCCAACCCTGGAAGGGGCTCCCTTGCTTGGGTCTCCAGCCTTGGTGAGGTCCGTTTTGGTGACAGCCCAGTCATTCTGATAAGGTGCCAGGATGGAGCAATGCACTCAGGAGGGACTCACAGGTTCATTGGACCAGTATGGCTTGCCCTTGGGGACACAGGGAAGCAGATGACACAGGCCCTTGGTGTCCACCCATCTCCCCTCCCCTGTGCTGGCTTCTCTGCCTGTGCGCTGCCTGTCTCCCGAGGCCTTAATTTCCACTCAAAGTCCTTGGCATCCCAGAGCTCACACTGTGGCAATTGACTGGGTCCTGCCTGAAGTGTTTCTGTTTTAACAAGTAGCTTCTGGTGAGGTAGAGGCTCAACACAAATGTGGGAATTTTAGGCAATAGCAGAAGTTAGTGAATGAGGAGCTAGGGAGTGGTAATTGTCAATAAAAAGAGTGGTAACAGTCATAGCTAACTTTTGTCGAGCACTTTCACATGCAGGGCCGAGCTAAGTGCCACATATATGATTTAATTGTCACGACAGTACTCTGGACTGGGTTCTATAAGCATTGTCACGGTGAGGATGCTTGAAGAGGGCACCTCACTGGTCCAAGGTTATGGTTTTGACTGGCAAAATGAAAATTCATAGCAGGTAGTCTGATGTTACCATGCTCTTAGCTATTGCCGTTGTCCTGAAGATCATATCAGTGGGGGTGCCATATCAGAAAGGCTCCGGCAAGAACAGATGGGACTCTTGGTAAAGTTAAGGGCAGGAGCTGTGACCTTCAGTCAAGGAATGAACACAGACAGCTCAAGATGATGCTGGAGGGAGTCAGGGGAGTAAATACCAGGATCTCACTCTCTTCCTTCTGCCCGGTATCCTGCAGATGTTTCCTAGTGACTGAGCCCAGTGGCAAGTCAGTGGTCAGAATTCATTGCTGTAATCCGCATAGATCAGAGCTGCAAGGACAAGGGGAGGAGGTGGCTGTCGCCCAGGAGTAGGGACCACCAGATGTGAGCTCTGCCTTAGGTAGAGGGATGTACCCACTGTCAAACTAGGAGAGAGAAACCCTATTTGTCTCTTTCTTTACTCCCATCTCTTGCCAGGGCCTCCTATTGGCTGCCTTCAATGAGAAGCTAAAAGGCAGGTAAGCCCAGTTGATGCAGCCTTCTGGGGCACTGAGCAGAAGGTCAAGTAAATCTGGAGAGGCACATAGAAAAAAAAATCTCACACAGGGCTGATATGTGAATCTGTCTATCTGAACAACTTCAGAAGGCATGCTGTGGCAGCTTTGAGGTTACTGGGTCAGCAGCTATATTTAGGTCAGTTGCCTTGGTGTATATAGCATCTTTCATTGACACGGAAACTTGACCTTGTTATGTGTAGGTTCTCTCTAAGACTTCAAGAAGAAGCTTGCATCAATTTGCTTTGCCTTCTATGTAAAAACGAGCATATTTGCAGAGGGCTGGTCTCCTCACATCTGGATGTCTGTGTACTTTGCAAATTCTTGACCTTGAGTGGCCCTGGTATGTAGTTACTCCTCTGTGTGTGCACCTGGGCCCTGGGGCATTTGTGTCCTTCAGATGCCCCTTCTCTGATAAACTTTCCGGAGGTTCAGCATTTTCCGTGTCTCATTAAAATTTAATTTGCTGTAATGTTGCCAGGCCCTGCCATGGCTGTATTTAAATAGTTTCATTGCCTCATTCTTTGCATTGCTTCTGCTTTTGAGGCTCTTGAAGAGGTATGTGCCTTCAGTTGTGCCAGCAGCCATGAAGGGCAGGTATGGCTTTGTAGATGAGCTCTGTGTATTCATAGGTTTTGCTTTTCTAAAATATGCAGGCGAGGACTATTATGAAAGTGAAGGGGACAGGAAGAGCCTTGTGGGACAGCAAGAAGCATCTAGAAGCTAGTGTTAATTCATTAAAGGGCTTTGTACTTGTTTGATTTTAGGGAAGCCCACTCAAAATACAGTGAGATTTTAAGTTAGAGTGCACTTCTAAACGTAAGCAATAGAAATGTCTCCTGGCCCTATTCTGTAATTAGCACAGAGACTACAGTGGAATTTTACATTTATTTTCATGCACCAAACCTTTGGAAAATATTCTTGGTTTGAAGATAGAAACCGAAGTAAACTTCCTGCTTGAGCATTGTTGAGAAGGATATTACACTGGCATGTCAAGAATAAGATGATCCAGACCTGGCCAGGGATAAGAAGTAAGGAAAAGCCCTCCTTAGAGACATTGACATGGCAGTGGACTGACCTAGGGAAGAAACCTGGTGAGAGGCAGAGTCAAGAGGAAGTAGGAGGAGCCAGAGTCAGGGCCAGGACATTTAGCCTGAGGACAGAAAATTCTTGGTGTCCTGAGAGTCAGGGATAGTGATTTCTGTGTTTCAAGAAGTAGATGGGTTCACTTTTAAGTTTCCAAAATATGTAATAATTTATTCAGTAATTGAATCCAGTAGTGGATTCAAGTTGCTGATGTATGCTTCTTGAAAAAAACCCCAAATCGAGGCATTTGGTTAATAAACAATTAAGTCATTGCCAGAGATGATCTGTTGAACCAGAGTGAACAGAGGAATATTAGAAGTACATTTGAAAGATTTTAGATGCAGAGGTCTCTTACTGTAAATGTCATCTTTTTTTTATTCTTTTTTTCTTGTCAGATTTCCAGTATTCCTATCTGACCTCTCTTCTCTGCTGTTTTGTTTTTCACTCTAATCCCTTTCCATTTTAGTTTAATTCTCTCCCTTTTGTGTGTGTGGGTTTTCCTGTTCTTTGTGCATGTTTTTGGTCTGACTCTTTATCATCTGATATTATCTGGGCCACGTGCCTCATCAGTTCTCTTGTCTCCGAGGGGTATCCCCTGGAACCTGTAGGTAACGCTGCACTATGGTGGTAAACTTTGGGGAAACGAAGGGTGTGAATTGCATTACATCTTCCTTGTGGCAGCTCTGCCTTGAGAGGGCTCTCCCTCCTCCTGGTAGGTAGCAAATGCTCTGGGGGCCCAAGTCTGCTGCATGCCTGGTACGTGCTTAGTGAATATTTGCTGAAGAAATGGCTATAGTCTCTGAAAAAGTTGGGCCCATTTGATTAGAAACTAAGGGTTGCTCTTTGGGAAAATGTGGATGAGTTTCGTTTGGGTTTGCCTCTGGGCAGGTGGCTTTGCCGTTTTGGT